GTCATGGAACCGGGGGGCCTTGTGAAGGCTACGGGGCATCCGCAAGGGAAAGGAAAATGGAAGATCAGGCACCACAGAATCGACGAAGGGTTTGGCCTGGTTGTCGCCAAGGGTGAYAGTGACAGTGGAGGAGTAGGAAGATGTGTAGAGGGATGCCTCCTTGACTACGCGAGGATGGATGAAGTCGCCAGTAGAGCCAGAGTCCCATAATGCGCGATAGACTCTAGTAGAGGTCCCGAGGCGCACAGGAATAATCGGTAAAGTGCGATCGGGATTGTGTAAGCGCTGGGAGATCGCGGCGAGGGTGTGCTCTTTAAGGCGGAGACGTTCCTGGCGGACCTTAACACACTCAAGGTCCAAGAAATCGATGATATCCTCTGCTGCAATAAGGGAGGCACTGCTGTGGGCCGTGCGAGGGGCACGCCTAGTAGGAGGACGAGGAGGAGGAGAGGGGTCATGAGAGACGCTAGGCGAAGGCGTGGGAGGTGGGTCGGCAACACTAGGGTCGGCCGACAAGGAAGTCAAGTCCGAGTCCCCCGAGAGAGTAGTAAGTGGCGAGAAGGTGGACTCGCGGGCGGGAATGCCTGCTACTGTGGGAGGATTAGGGGAATGAGACATCGTGGCTAGGTGGCTGCTGTGCTGGAGGTCGAGGCGGGGGGGACAGCCTGAGGGCGAGCCTGTTGTGCAAAATGGCTCTGGAGGGCGTCCGCATACGGGCAGGTAGAGGAGGTGTGACCGGCAAGACGGCAACGGGTGCAGATGCCTCGTGCGGCTCCTCACTCTCCGTGATAGTCAAACGGCCGCGGGGGAACACAAAGCCCGCTTGTAGAGGCAATTGGGCGACGTGGAGCGAGTCCTGGATGATGAGGGTTGTCGCCGGAAGAGAGCGGAAAGGGTCCAGAGAAAGCGATCGTCCTGGGAATGGGTGTCGTCCTCCGTGGGCGACTGAGGGTCAGACCCCTGGTCTGGGTCACTCGCCGAACCGTCCGAGGCCATGCCCTCCTCGGCACTCGACGGTTCACGGAGCAGTGCGTGGAATCGGCGTGCGAGCGATCGGTCCGGACCTCTGCGGGGACCATGACGGAAAGTGGAAGACTGTCGAGGCTAAGGGGGGCGAGGGGCTGCAGCAGCAGCAGCATAGGTGGCGGGAGGTTGAGGCGAAGAGCCAACAAGTGGGGCATAAGATAGATGGATGGCCCGAGCAATGTTGAAGGCCTTTGGTAACGGAGAGATGGAGTAGGCCATCATCTGCAGCTGGAATGCCTGGGGGAGGCCTGCGCGGAATCGTTGGATCATGGGATCCTCCGGTATGGTGGTGACGGGGATCTGGGCGCGGACACGGTGGAATGCCGTGATATATGACTCGAGGGCATTGTCGCCACCAAGCCATCTGATCTCGGCCACCCGGGAAATCGGGTCGCGGGTCGGCGTAGGACGAGAAAAGTACTGCTGCAGGAAATCGAGGAACTCCTGATAGCTCATGCCCTCCTATACACCCCGCTGAGATCGAAGAGCGAGGAAGTCACGCCAGGCAGAGGCTGCGCGACCTGTGAAACGGGMTGACATCTCGACGGGCCACAGTTCCATGGCGACGCCATGATAGCGGAGCTGCTCCTCGGAAGTAGAGATCCATCCCTGAAGCTCAAAGGCCTTGCCGTCAAACTGTGGAAGGCGATCCGGTCGAAACTGTGGAACATACGTCGGGGGCCGATAGTGGGTAGGGAGAGGGAGGGACGATTGTGACAAGAGGACAGAAGAAGTGGTAGCACCAGCCTGAGCACTAGAAAGAGCGGGAAGCTGGGGCAAAGGTCCCTGACACATCGTGGTGGCCGATGGTGGGAGGGTGAAATGCATCGCCGCAACCTGTGTCTGATGCTGTCGATAGATGAAAGGGGCAACGGGCTGTGTCCGGATGTGGGGAGGCAGGGGTTGACCTCCTTGGAGTTGGCGGATGTGATCCTGGGCCATGGCGAGTTGATTTTGGAGCTGGACAATTTGTGTCCGGGGTGTCATGGGGGGTGGGGGTAAAGAAGTGGGGGGTGGTGAGAGAGGTGTCGTGGAAACTAGAATGGAGGAGGTAGCGGGACACGATGCCATGGGTCCGGACAAGGGAAATGCGGAGGTGGGGATTAGTAGGAGGGGGATAGATTAACAATACCACGCTCCCGGTCGGCCGGGAGCAATCAAGGTCCTTCCTCCTAGTCGAGGAAGGTCTTCAATGAACCCCTAAAGGGTCTTCTCGATCGTTCCCCCGGTGGAACGACGAGGTCGCCGGATGAAGTGCTTGCACTGATGATGACGAGCCAATATAATGATGACGTCAACGGCAATGGCGATGTTGATGATGTTGATGATGATGATGATGATGATGATGATGATGATGATGACCA